CATTGCTTAATTCCAGTTTCGAACAACGTACCGTGAAAGATAAGAAACTAAAAGCTTCAAGAAAATGGAAATGTACTACAAATGGAAAAAAAAAAACAAGAACAAAAAGGGAAGTGAGTTAAACTGGCACCTGTATGAAGGACCAAGTTGGTTTCCCTTTGGTCGATTACTTGGTTCCTCTGGTAGATGAAAATATAATTTTTCTCCTAGTGGGCTATATAGAACAACTTTTTTGTTTTAATGTTTATGTGAGGCGTTTTGCCAGATTAAATTTATGTCTTCTAGCTACATACCTTTATCTTTTCGCCGGGCCATGAGTTGAAACTTGAATGTAGAGGCAGAGCATGGACTCGGGTTGACTTGTATAAGACAAGAGACTGAACTAGACCTACGTTCAATTATTTTCATTTATTTTTTTAGTTGGAGCCATTCAATTCCTAATTATTTAGATTTTAGGTTAATTGTTTTATTAGTTCCTGAATTTAAACTCGATTTGCATTTGAGTCCCTCAATTTTCAAAATTATTTACATGGTCCTTTAACTTCACTCTCGTTAAGACAAATGATCTTGCCATCAATTTTGTTAACTTTTTCTGTTAAATGCAGGGCAAAATAATATTTTTTTTTCTGTTTTTCTCCTATCATGGAAGTGATTAAAACACACCTCTAAGCTTGTTTTGCGTTTGGTAGCCGAGTGTAAAAGCTCAATGCAAGATAGTTTGAGGTAGAATTTTCTCCTATTTTAATAGGACAATGATGAGCTATATCATATGTAACAACAAATTGCTTTAATAATGATAGTTAAAAAAAGTGTGATTCATTGAATATTTGCGGGGTTTTGTTCAGACCTAACAAAGCTCCAAGTCAACACATCAAATTCCTTTTTCCAACATGCAACAATTGTATTTGAATCACAATTTTGTCTGATATATATCACATCATGCCACTTGCATCAAATGAATTTAACTGAGTGAGGCAATGGGAAGTAATTAAGCTCTATATTCGTGGGTGGAGTGTTACTTCTAGAGCCTCATCATTCGTCCATACAGGAGACAAACTCTAGAACTCTCACACTTAGTATAAGGACTACTTAACTCTATAGCTTATTGCATGTAGCATACGCAAACACAATTAGAAATTCTACAACAGAAGCAAGATCAATCTCGCTATGCCTTCTAAACAAACAAACAAATAAAACAAGCATATTAATTGCTTTAATTACTCTACTAACATCAACACAGCACACTTAGTTTACTAACATATATGATACAGAAAGATAAAAAAAGGACCAATAGGGAGAAAATGGTGAACTAAGGAGAGACTAATGCTTCTGGTTCTTAGAAGGCATAACAGAAATAATAGAGCACACTGCTTGAATGCAAGTCAGTATTAGGAGCAAAACAGCTGCAATGACAGAAATAGTTGCCCAAGGTGTATTGATATCAATGTTTTCAAAGGCATGCCTTCGCGCGCGTCGGCGCAAGACGGCAAGAAAACGTCTGAGGCGGTCGGCTGTTTAGCGAGTTGCACATTTAGCGCGGGGAAGGCGTGAGGAGGCGTTGCAAGGCATGTCCAGGTGGAGCGAGGCAGAGCAAGGCAAGCCAGATCTAGAAACTTCTGAACCGGAAGAAATTTGCGAGTCTGCAGATGTCTGTGAGGAAGACGACTCCTTTTTTTTAATTTTATTTTTAGGTTAATGAAACGACGTCGTTTTGATTGTAGTGTTTTGAAAACAATATTAAAGTGAAACGACGTCGTTTCACTTGGAGTGTGTTGAAAAAAAAAACGCAAGTTGCTGTTTTTTTATCTTACCTTTAAGGCAAGAAGAATTAATAGTGGGAAATATGTTAATGAAACATGCAAGTTGCTGTAGCTTTTCTACTTACCTTCTTCTTCTTTTTTTCCTTAAATTAATATATTAAAACATGGATTTATATATATATATATATATATATTGTATAGTACAACCCTAATTTCTACCCTTACCAGATAATCTCTATCAATTTCAAGAATTCTCTTCATCTTTCAACTGCAAATAAGTCATTTTATTTTTCTCTCTAATTCTTCGCAACTGTAATTTGAAGTTCCGTATAATTTTTTTCAATTTTTTTTTAAATATATTAGTTAACTTATTCGTTTATGTGATATAGTAGAAATTTGATGTACATGTATCATACTTGTATAAACCAATTTGGAGAAGAATAGATGAAAGATGGTGATGTTAGTTTGAATGATATTAGTGTTGAGGAGTGGGATGTGTGAATTATGTTATTGTTTTGATGTTGAATAAATATTTTATGTTTTGGGATTGATTATTATGCTTTGAATGACAATTAGTACTTATATTTGATTATATTTAAAAGATTATTATGGTTGAATAAGAATTAGTTGTACAATTTAATTGTATTGTATTATTCATAAATTTTTCTTATTAAAATAAATTAATGTTCAAAATGCTTATGCCTCGCATAGTGCTACTAAAAACGCCTCACATATACGCCTCGTCTTTGAAAACATTGATTGATATAATTTTGCCTCAAATTTGCCTTCCATTTGTTCCAAGGCTTTCCGCAGTAGCTATTGTGGCGCTCAGAAAGAGTAGCAAAGTAGAAACATTTACGATCCACAGCAACTCCTCTTCCGAGGTTGTTAATCAGAGTGCACACCTCATTGTAGTAACCAAAGCATATTTTCGACAATCCCATCCTTCAGAAGGAACTCCACATCCTTTTCGGTGTTCACAAAGTCATCCATGAGTGAAACATAATCACTTATGTAATTGTCATTGCAATGGCACTGTTCAAAGGCAAGGAGGTTACAGAGTGTGATCTCTGTGTAATCGTGTATTTTTAGTTTCAGAATTTCTAGAATCCCATCGTTGAATCGTATATCGAATAAGTTTCTGTTTGATCCCAACTTAAACTTGACCCCAGCCTGGTGTAGTTTTGTAATGCAGGGTGTAGTATTTCTTTGCTTCATCACTTCACAATACAATACAATACTTGGTACATATCACCCTACAAGCACACAGAAAAGTTTAACTAACAGACAAGGAGTCATACTGCTCAACATACAATACAAACTTTCTCTTGTTTTTGGTTTCTTCACTACGTTGGTGATGGAAAAAGGACAGGGAGAGAATACAGAAAGAGATCCACTTCCCAAAATTTGGCCCGATTTCGGGCTGAGATTCCGGCCACTTCCGATCATTTTTTGAGGTAGGTCCAAAAACAAAAGTGTCTCCAAATAAGGTTTTACACCTAGGGTAGGAAGTTTGGCCCTTAGTTTTGAGTTTTTCGGGTAGCCGCTATTGCTTAGGATACACACGGGCTGCCGGCGCGTGTGGCAGCGCGTGGGCACTGTAGAAAATGGGCATTGTGTCCCGATGTGATATCCTGGTCCTCATGAGAGTGTAGATACTTTCGGATTCCAATTTGGTTGACGTTTGAACCCCAAACGGATTATGCCTATTGTGCGTTATCCGGTTTCGATATGTTCGGACTGTTGGATCTAATCTCATTGGTTATGGTGCACACGGGATGTCGGCGCGTGTGGCAGCGCGTGGGCACTGTAGAAAATGGGCATTGTGTTCCCGATGTGATGTCCTGGTCCTCATGAGCGTGTAGATACTTTCGGATTCCAATTCGGTTGACGTTTGAACCCTAAACGGATTAAGCCTATTGTGCGTTATCCGGTTTCGATATATTCGGACTGTTGGATCTAATCTCATTGGTTATGGTGTTTGGATGAGTTTAGTGCCGACTGTGTCGGTGGTTTTAAAGCTTGTTTCAGAACGAGGCTGGGTTTAATGATTATTCTCTTTTTGTTAGTTTAAGTGAGAGTGTTGTTAAAGTGTAGTTAAGGCAAGACAGGATTGTAACCCGTGTTGGATTATGCACGATTTGGGGCCAAATGCTTAAACTACTTGCGTTTGTGTTGGAGGTTAAACCTCACATGCTTAAAATTTGGGAAGTTAATTTATGTTATTTTCCGTGGGCATTCGTAAATGAGTTTGAGTTTATTTTATTTGCATTGTTTAATGCGTTATTTTGATTTAAGAACATTGCAGGAGGTTCTGTTTCCATTCATGTGAAGGCCGGAGGCCGAACATATGAATTGCATAAAATTATATTGTGCATGCTGCCTGTTGGGATATTAAATTGTGAATTTTGTGTAGGTTGAAATTTAGGAAATGTTCAATTTACAGGAGAGACTTTGCCAAAATTTTGGTAGAAAGTCTCGGTCTTTAGTAAGTAGGCCCGGCATCGGGGTGATGCCGAAACTCCCACAGGATTCGTCCTGGGTTCCGAGGAATTCGGGGCGGGTCCTGTCACTTTGTGTAGAGCAAGAAATCTTATTAAATACTTACCAAACAAAATGGTGGCGTTGTTTAGTAGGCTATCTCAGTTCCTTTGGCTTTTGTTTTGATTCTTATCCCAATATCCTCACTCTGCTATCTGCGTTGCAGAAAGGGGCGCAAAGGTTTTGAGTTTTTAGGTTGCATTGCTAAATGTAATTGTTGTCGTTAAATTTATGTAATTGTTGACATTAAAATTGGAGAGTGCTTTTCAACTCTCTGTCAAAATGTCGATTTTCCAGACTCAAAAAGAAAATCGTTTATAAATGAAGTGGGTAAGATCATTTATTAGAACATATATATATTAAAGACTAAAGAATGTGCAAAAGCAAAAGTTATGGTAGAGAAATGAGTGGTAACTAAAAAATGAGTGAGTGGATAAAATAGGAGTGGGGAAATCATTGCCCTAGAGAAATTAGTATAAAATTATATATATACTAAAGCTCAATCCAACTAAATACTGTTTTTAAGCACAGTGAATTTATGAAAATGCCTTTATTTTAAACTGTTCAGCCAGCTTTTTCTCCCCATTTGAACAGTAAAATTATGATTTTGCCCTTGGCTGATGATTTTGTGTTTTTCCCGTTTTGCCCTCTCTTTCCTTGGGATGTAATGTAACTAGCGGATGTTTAGGGTTGAGAGGCGTCTGGTTGGATTTCAACTAGCTGGTTGGATAGCTTCAGGGGTAAAATGGGATAGCTGTTGGTCCTTCGATGTCCACATCTGGAGGCTTCGACTGTTTTACACAGCCATAGTTCACCGACTTCAGTTTTCGCTTCCATTCTTCACCTAACCATTGGTTCACTTCCTTCATCCCCCTCTACAGCAGCTCCGGTTCCATCTTCCTCCAACCACCAACCACCGGCTACGGCGACCACTCCTCCTCCTTTCTCTCTCTCCCTTGCTCGCGCTCTCGCTTTTTCTCTCTCAAACACCCACAGGTAGTGTTTTTGAAATTCTTATTTCTCTGTTCTATTCTTGGTTGTTATTTGATAAATTTGATTGGGGTTTTTTTTTCCTGGATATTTGAGGTAAAATAGAATTCGAAACCTGATCAATTTCTTCTGGGTTTTGCAGAGCTCTGTCTCAGTTTGTTTGCTTTGGCTGTTTTCCGTTCTGGGTTGAGGTAAATTTCTTTTAAAATCTGCCTCAATTTGTAATCTGAACAACGTGGCAAGTCAATGCCTAGGAGTTTTGCCTTTTGTACTTTTGCAATTCTACTCTTCTATGAATCTGGGCGAATTTTATTTTAAATGGCAGTGGTGTAATAGATTTTGGTTTACATACCCAAGTTTTCAATTTGATATATGATAATGTTGAATTGAGTCTATAATCAAATCTGTTTTATGATGATGAAATGAGATGACAAGAAATGATGATGATGATGATGATGAGGACCAATTGATATGTTGAGAATTGATGACTTGAAGCAAAACTCAATAACTAAAAGGCTGTTTTGGGTTAACTAACAATCACATCGTGCAAAGAGATCAGAAGTCAGAACCTAAGAAATCTGTTGCATATCTCAAACTACGATGTGATAAGGCCCCCTAAAACCAATATCTCCCTGTTTATTGAGTTTTCACTGGATAAATTTTGCTCATAGTTTTCTTCAATTGCGTTTAATTGAATCTTAATTAATAAGCATGTGTTTTTATTTAGGTATATATCTGTGTGTTTTAATGTGCAAAGGGTCGTGTTTTCAGTTGATTTTATCTTTAAGATGCCAATGTTGACTGCTCCAAGTACAATTGTTAGCTCGCCTCTATTGCCAGCACGTATTTTATGAGTACCCATTGCTAAGTTTCTGTGATTTTTTTAAGATAATGTTTTATTACGCAAAGGGTCGTGTTTTCAGGTGATTTTATCATTAAGATGCCAATGTTGACTGCTCCAAATACAATTGTTAGCTCGCCTCTATTGCCAGCAGGTATTTTATGAGTACCCATTGCTGAGTTTCTGTGATTTTTTTAAGATAATAATACTAATGATTGATTTGATTGGAAGCTACAAATTTTGAAATGAGGTACTTCTTCCAATAGTTTCTGTTTTCATTGTTCACCGACTTCATTGTTCACCGACTTCCTTCCCTCTCTCTTTTTTTTTGCTTTTTTATTTTTTAACCATGTTTTCTTTTGATATTTTGCAGGTGGTCTTTTGTTGCTTTGGATAGAGCAGTTTGGTTGGTGTTTTCGGTTATGTTAAGCAGGAGGTGAGTTTCTATGCTGAAATTTCCAATTAATTGTTTTAAGTTTTGTGAATAGAGCATAGGAATTAGCTAATGGTGTCAATTGACAATTGGTTGGGATAAGTGTGTGCTTCTTATTTTTTCTTCAAGTCCTAAAGAAAGATGGCAACCGTACAAATATAGACTTCAACAATTTTCAAACGCAAAAAAAGGATTATGTGCCTTATGAGAAGAAGAAACTGAGTTTTTGGTTTTTGCGTTTTTTACAGGTGCTGTTTAACTGTTTTTTAGACTGTTTGGTAGCTCTTCCCATTGATGCTAGACAACAGGTCAGTTTTCTATTCGTCTTTTGAAGAAGTCTAGCATATCAACTGTGGCTAATTGGTTTTTGGATATTGTGTCTTTGAAAATTGTTATTTCTATCATTGTGATCTTATTGCTTATATGGTTTGTTTGATTAGGCTATAGAAATTGTATTTAATTCGTTTTCATATGTTTGTTTTGAAATTTTTTATTTATATAGCTACAATACTGTTGGTGTGCGTCCATTTTGCTTGATTAGGATATAGATGTAATAAAAATATTGTAATTTAACTCATCCATGTTTATTTTTTCCTTTCCAGCCATCCATGTGTTGGTTGATCATTTAGGCATATGCACTGTTCTTAATTTTTTAATGATGAATTTTTGTTTGCAAGTTTGATATCAAAGCATCCCCTGCGAATATATACATTGCCAATGGCATCAATTTCCCATTTGTGTTGATCATTTAGGCATATGTACTGTTCTTCTTAATTTTTTAATGATGAACTTTTGGTATGCAAGTTTGATATCAAAGCATCCCCTGCGAATATATACATTAACTTTTTAATAAGAACCCATGTAAATCAGCTACACGGTGTTTGATTATTATGCATCAAAGTTATTCAAATTAAAGAACACATTATTAAAAAGCATGACATTATAATCAGTAATCGTATACTCTTTATTTCAAATGCAGCATCTAATAGTTTTTAAATAGACAGTGTAGCATCTCCATTGCAATACAGTTAGTGAAAGAACTTTTTCTTAATAAATGTTTTTTATGTTTTCTATTCATAGTGGAAATAACTTTAAAGTGGGAAAAGATCATCAATTTTTAACAATGAGGATGAGATTTTTTTTTTTAAAAAAGGTTGGCTATATATCAAAACACTGTCAAAGATGTAGCATATGTGGCACTAATGCTCCAATTGGGGATCACCAGGTTGTTCAGAGCACTATTTTAGAATCTAGAATGTCTTTATTTTTCTTTCTTTTGATTGTTGCTTAATTTTATTTCAAATTGCTTCTCTGCAAATGGTTGGTTTCAAGTCACAATTATGGGCCATTGAACTAATTTCCAGAAACAAATTGACCACATTGGCTTAACTAATTATATAGGGTTTGGTTGATGTTTGGTTTTATCGAATTTGTTTTTAACAGAACATTTGGTATTGGTCTACACTGTCTTGCATGCATATGGATTTTGAAATGAGTTGTGATGTGTTTATTTAGTTTTCTCTTTATGGTGTTGGTTACTTTTCAACCAATTAACATGTGATTTTCCTCTCAAGGAATTTGAAAAGAAACCAGTCTTCAATTCGTATCGTCATATTTTCATGTTTTCATTTGTTTGTGTAAGAAACGGAAATGTAACAAATAGTTTCTGTTGGTTCTTAATATTCTTCAATACGAAAAACAGTATTGAAACAGATTCATTAATTGAGACTGTCTTATCTCACAAGCAAAACCAAAATTATATTTATTAGCCTAATTTTGTTTTTCTGTCTTTGTATTTTAGATAGCTGTTGTGATCCTGCTTTTGTGTTGCTGTTTTTTGAAGTGCTTGATAGCTTCTTTGACTACAAGTTAGTGTCTCATCCATTTTTCA